ACGAGGCCCCCTCCTGAACCCTCCTAAACCCTAAACCCTAATCCTAAACCCTAAACCCTAACCCTAAACCCTAATCCTAAACCCTAACCCTAAACCCTAAACCCTAAACCCTAATCCTAAACCCTAACCCTAAACCCTAAATCCTAAACCCTAACTCCTAAACCCTAAATCCTAAATCCCCAACCCTAAGCCTTAAATCCAAACCCTAAGCCGAAGGCCGACCAAGGTCTGAGCTTTCAAAGTCCCATGGGGTCCAAACTGCCCTACAGCCTGAAGCTTTCAAGTCTTTGGGGCTTAGGGTTTAGGGGTTTAGGGTTTTAGGGTTTTAGGGTTTTAGGGTTTTAGGGTTTAGGGTTTCAGCCCCTAAGCTCTAAACCCTTCAAGCCTATACAGTGAAGGACTTAGCAGCTTTCCTCTCTCTGGAGGTACTTGCCGTGCTCTTCCTGGTCTGGGGTCTGCTTGTTGCTTCAAAGATTTGGGTTTTCTGTGTCATGAGATAAATGTATGGTATCAATACATATACTGGGCATGCACATCGCGCACAATTTCGTGTTCAGACGTTTCTGGGCATTATTGGCACCCCTTGTTTGTTGCAGGGAGATTTTATTTTTAGGATGTCCCCACCCCACCTTTAGACATGCCGATGTAGCAACGGCAAAGGGATCTGCTCCATCAGGGGTTCCGCGGCAATTTTCTTTGTGCAGCTAAACATGCCCGGCAGATCGGCACAACTGTCAAAGGCCGCCGCAACAACTTCTGTCCCAGGGTCATCTTAAGAAAGCAGTCCTACCTTGTCCCCATGTTCACATTGTTGTCCCCTATTGTCCCCTGTACTGCCCCCGCAAAGGAACATGGCACTTGTGCCTTACAGGCATTCCTATCACCACCAACAACGACTATAGTTGAGAATTGTCATCTTCCAATTCCTCAGAAGATCAAGTAATTTCTCTTTGAGCCGTTATAACTACAAGGACACTTGTTGCATTGAAAGCTTAGGTGGGCCGAGCTGCACATGGGCAGTGCCGACCTCGGCTGTCCTACTGCTGTTTTGCATGTGACTTCTACGGGCTGTAGTAGTTGGCTCCTATCTCAGGCAGGGCCGGAAGAAGCGGAGCCTGGGGTGATATGGGCGCTTTCCACCCCCATGGAATCCTCAGAAGTAAGCCCCCGATTTCTAGGGACCTCCATCCGCATGCTACTCACTGAGCTTCCTGCACAAAATAAATCTCAGGCATACAAACTGTTCGATGAGAGCTTAAGTGCTAGCGCATAGATTGTCGCTAGACCTTTCGTCCATCTGACGGGAAATAATGTATATATGTCTTTCAGGCAAAGTACTCTTGAAAGTTCCTAGACCCTTCGCGTCCCCCACCAACCCGAAACTCGAAACCTGCACGCCTTCCTGGGCCCTTTGCCAGCAGCAGCGAGAAGGTTAGAGCTTGCCAGGGATTTGCGGGGCCTTCGGCCAATGCCACAGCATGACTTCCCGAGCAGCTGAGGACCAGCCATTTCATGTGGGAATTAGCGAGGAATACTGTTTCCTAACAGGGTGAAGGGTGAGACTTAAACGGAGTTGGAAACCATGTATTGAACTACTTTGTGTACGCGGGACGCGAACGCGGATGGATTCCATCAGGCTGATGCATTCGTGGCCTAGCCGAAGCTGTTTAATGCGGCTCTACAAGCTGGTTGCTGAGTCTAAGACCAGGTAGGGCAACCCACGTTGTAAGCAGGTTGAAGTCTTTCAAAACAGTTAACTCGTATAGTTACTAAGACTAGTGTTTTGTAATATGCCTTCCTTGGTCTAGCATGAGGTCCCTAGGGCTGTGGCACGCCTGGAGATTCTTACAGAGAGGAGCCCGCTTGCAAGGAGGACCTCCTTACCGTGGAGCATTCAAGGAAGCTTTTTCGCGAGGGCTTAGTGTTTAGGGTTAGTCAGATGCCGCCCTATCAAACCCACCTTGGACGTAAGAAGTGCCAGCAACATCCTGCCCTAAATCCCGCATGGGGCTCTATACCCTGAGCCTGACACCATGGCATCTGAAACCTCACCCCATGGCACCCGAAGGGCCTTAAAGCCTAAACCCACGTGTACATCCCCAAAACGGAGGAGATCAACAGCCATGGAAAGCCGAGGAACCATTAAACACACTTTTAGCTATGGGCTTTAGGGTATTGCAGTACGCCCCAAGGTCTAAACTTTCAAACTTTCAGCAGGATATCCAGTTTAGGGTTACCCAAGATGGTTCCATTTCCGAACCCTTTTTCGAAGAACGGGTGCCTTACATATGAGCTGTAGTCTAAACTCCTTACAGGGGGTTATTTAAGGGATTATAAAGGGGAGCCTTGTAGGCGTTATTAAGGGGGATACCTATAACTCATATGGGCACAGGAATTCTTCGAGATCATCAGAGAAGTGCAGGCTCTTCTCCAGGGGTCATGTAGGCCTAAATCTGAGAATTTCTTAAGGGTTTAGGGTGTATGTACTGCTTTTTTGCCCTTTTAAGGAAGGCCAAATCCCTTTAGGACCTTTTGGAAACCCCTGAATCTAAAACTCTGTAGTATGTACATCCACCACTAAATCCTACGGCTTAAACTCTATCAACTGACAGAGCAATAAGTACCCAACAGGTCATAAGACACCCTTTGCATTCGTGCAGGCATAAAAGTCCGAAGTGTTTAAAAACAACTCTATCACCTAGCCCCTATGTCCCAAATTCTAAACCCTAAGTCCTAAACCCTAAATCCTAAATCTTAAGTTCTCGACTCTAAATCCTGAACCCGAGCACTGAACCCTGAATCCTAAACCCTAAATCCTAAACCCTAAACCCCAAACCCTAAACCCTAAAACCCTAAACCCAAAACCCTAAATCCTAACCTGAAGTCTTTTTCAGGAAGTGATGCAGCAGTACCTTGCGAAGTATGGTGCAAGGCCAGGCAACCCCGCGCCTTGGAGTAAACTTCAACTGGAAGGTTAGGGTTTAGGATCTAGGGTTTAGGGGTTAGGGTCTAGGGGCTAGGGTTTAGGGTTTAGGGCTTAGGATTTAGAGTTTAGGATTTAGGGTCTAGGGCTTGGGGTTTAGGGTCTAAGGAAATTTCAGGTGGGTAGGATCCCACCAAGATAGGCCTCACATGCTGGCTTACCCACCTGGTAACTCCCGCCTGAAAATAGTCTCATTCTATAAGGGAGGGAGCGTTCATTCTTGGGGGTTGGAGGGGTATGGGTGTAGTGACATCCCGTGATATCAGCAACACTTACCATCAGTAGGAATAAGGACCCATAGGTGCAAGGAAGCCAGTCATAGTAACGCAGCATGACAGGTCAAGCGTCGAGCAGGAAAATCGGTAGGCAGCAAACCCCAAACCGGAGGCCCGACCACAAATCCTAAACCAGTGCCAGGGGCCAGCTCTGTGCATTCAATGGTCAGATGGGGGCCGGGGGCTTGCCAAAACCTAGATTTCCCTTTTTGGGGGTCCCATAGAAAGGATTATAGTATTTTGGGGTCTACGGGGGTCCCTTTTGTATGGAAATGGAAACTACAGCTATAAGACGAAATTTAATCGTGCCGTTTGGTTTACTTTATGCAGGGTGCTGAGGCAGTGGCAGCATAACACGATTTGGGGGCTACTTGGCAGGAAAACAGCCTGTGAAAACAAAAAAGATCGCGCAAAGCATACGAGCAATTGTCGTCAGAACTCAAGACCCAAACCTTGAATCAAGATCTAGACCTCAAAGATCTACCACCACAAGCCTTAGACTCTACCGTCAAAAGCCTTCAACCCTGAACCCCTAGCCAAGGACCAGAACCGTACGAACCGTCTACATCCATCTAGACCTCCAGTTTGCATTTTGTTTTCTATCTGGTTCTCAGTGGTAGCCAAGGACCAGCTCTGTGCATTTGCGCGACACAGCGGCTTGCTGATTCTTGAGGGAGACTGTGCGAGTGAACCCATATTCCCTATATAACTCCCTAACTTACCCACCCTAAACCCTAAACCCTAAACCCTAAACTCTAAACCCTAAACCCTAAACCCTATAGTGGCATCCGATGTCTTTTCCACTCTCCTAGTTGCACTCCCCCACTCTGAAACCCTGAAGCCTACCTTCCTTCCCCGAAGTTTTAGGGTTTGGGGTCTAGGGGTTTAGGGTTAGGGCTTGAAGGTTTAGGTTTTAGGGGTTTAAGGTATAGGGGTTTAGGGGTTTAGGGGTTTAGGGGTTTGGGGGTTTGGGGGTTTAGGGTTTGAGGTTTCGCAGGCTGGATGCAAAAGGGTTTGAGGTTTAGGGTTTGGGGTCTAGCGCACCCAAACTCTGAACCACTAACCTCTTTGTAGTTTCATATGTTTCATTTTCTTTTAAATTCGCTGACTATACTATACTATAGAACCCTGCAGCAGTACATCCATACCCTCCACCGCTCTGAGCTTTAAACAGCAAGTGTTCTTTTTTTTTTCTTTCCCGTGCTCCGTTTTGAAACCACCAGTAACATCCTACTTCTTATTTCTATTTTCGTTCCTTCGTTCCCCAGGAACGACGAGCAAGTAACCGAAAGTATATATATATATACACACACCAACAACAAGTTTCCATTTCATGTGCCATTTGCTTGTCCATATGATTCTCCATTTTTCCTCCCGACGCCTTAATCTCCCTACTAAGCCCTCGTAGCCCCTTTACATTGAGGGGACTCATCAACCCTAAATTCCAAACCCCAAACCCTAAGACCTGCCTGCCATCTCAGTAGTCGGGGTTTGTACGTGGGGAATGTAGGGGATCTTCAGATCACTTTGTGTCGAGCGCCCTGGGGTACTTGGCTGATGGCTGTGGCTCATAACGGATCGAACCGGGTGTACTGAGTGCAACGCGCATGCCTAAACCCTAATCCTTAAACCCTAAACAGTCGACACCACCTAGCGCCGCATGCGGAGCCGTATCGTGCAGGGACTTCTAGCCAACCAACAGCAATCAACAGCAGAAATGCTCCTGCAGCAAGCCATACAGCTGATGCAGAGACGGCCCTGAAGCCCCTGAGGGTACATTCTAACTGCCAGACGTGGCCGTGCACCCTGTGTGCACCTTTCCGAGACCTTCTCTTTATGCCCCCCTGACGCTGCGTTGAATGAAGCGGTTGGAATCCACCAAAATTGCACAATTCCAACATGCTTTCCTAGAGAGAGCGACGCTGGATGATGCAGTTGTGTATGGTATGTTATATCTTGTTCCATTTTTCAGTTTGCGGGGAAGTTGTACAGCCCTTCCACCTTCCTGGTTATGTCTCATGCGCCATAATCTGACCTAAGTTTTCTCTCATGCTTTGAAGTCTTCGTCTTGTGAAATTGTCTAATTCAATGAGTGTTGAGCGCATACGCCGCTCTTGTCTCTGCGACCTGCCGGATTGTTACTTTGCGCTGCTGTTTGAGCCATGCATGTGGCAAAGCCTCAAACCTTAAACCTTAAACTCCGAACCCTGAATTTTAAACCTTGAACTCCAAACCCTGAACCGTAAACCGTTAAGCCACCAGCAAGGCGGCCACCAGCTATCCTTCGCCGTCGCACGGCAGGCGCTCCGGGCGACGAGCCCCTCTGAAAATTCTGAAAGATCCGAGGCCGGTTTAGGGTTTAGGGTTTGGGTCTGCCGAAAGTTTTGGGGCTCATTGCTGGTATGTATGGGGAGTTTAGGCATTATTATAGGGTATTTAGGGTTGGTTATGCATTTCGGCTTATGAGGGATTGGGGTTTAGGTCTGAGGGTTTAAGCTTAAACTAATTGCCTAGAGGTTCGGCTTGAGGCTTCAGGGGCAAGGGTTTCATATGTTTTGGGCTTCGTTGGGATTAAAGAAGCGTTTTGCCCATTTCTTCAGTTCTGCCTACCCAACTACCAGTAAAACTAGGGCCCTCAATGCAGGCTCCTAGTTGTTTGCTGGGTCCTGAGTCTGGGCTTCAGACGTGGGGATGCAAGTCTTACATGGATAAGAATGAGCAATTCAAGGGATAATGGAGGCCTATGCAGAATGATGTCGGAGTACGTCTGGATTCAATAGCGAGCTTGCAAGATCAAAGCTTCCAGGTTCCATGCTGATGCTGGGGAAGGAAGGCATTGTGTATCAGACGCATCAAGTCCTCCCCCCAACACATAATTGATGACATAATACTATAGCGGAAATAACGGTTATAACTTATAAAGGGCTGGGATGGGAGTGGTGGGAGTGTTTCCTGAAGGAGAGGGGTGTGGCATTCCTATCTGCAGCTTAAGCCTAAAATTAGGCACCCAACTTTAACCGCATTCTGCAGAGACAGCAGAATTGTAATCAGACGCATCCGATGTAGTCCATGGACTGTAGCTGCAGCCTTTGCGACAGGTATAGGGATAAGGACATACACGCTACAATCAAGAAAGTACAGAGATGATGGTATGAAAGCAGGCATGTTGACCAAGGAGCCATGACAAGTTTGACGCGTAGCTGTAAGAATAACTCTGACGTGCAAGTATGATGCTTCAGAGGCGTTTGAGAGACCACCACGTCCCGTGCAGCCCTCCCACGTTAGTGTTTGAGAAGCCCTTGTGTGGGGTTTCCAACTACATGAGTTTTTGGGAGTCCTGGTAATCATAGATCCACTTTGAGATCCTCTCGAAATCCCCATGTGAGCCGAAGGTGGCATCTTCGTCATCCGGGTCGGCCGCGTCATCGGCGCTGCCGAGCGACGGAAATGGATGGCTGCAACAGCACCTTGCCTGTTCAGTTGCCAGCTTCTAGCCTCTGGGGAAATGGTTCCAACCTGTTATACGTCAAAAGGTTCATTGACCCCCCTGGAAAACCCTAGATCCTGGACAACTGAGGTACTCCCAACATTATGGCCACCCTCCCTCCTCAGCACAGCACCTTTGTGCATTTGCAGCGCATCGTGGTGGTAGTCTGACGTTTGCTGCAGCACGGAGGACCATGGGAGACCCCCTCGGCAACACAATTCCGGAGGCTTCCATGTTCCCATGGCTTCAGGACCTCTTTGCGATCAATCAACACTACCGCACACTGGCAACAATGATCTTCGCAAGGCTAGACATTCAGCGGGACATAGCCGTGGATCAGCAGGTAGAAGTGGCGTCGGTCACCAGACTGACCTTGCAAGACATTTCCAAGCTCATGGCAATAGCGAAGCCCGCCAATGTAGAGGAGGGCTTTGAGTGCTCTATTTGCTTGAGCTCCTTCAGTCCCAGTGCGGCGCCAAAGTGGGTGCAGCTTCCGTGTGCACATGTTTTTCACCGCAGCTGCTATCGGGAGCTAGTCCATCACAGCTGCTTCAACTGGATGTTGAACTGCCGCTGTCCCTTGTGCAGGCTTGACTTGAGGGAGGCGCTAAATCATGCGCAGGCCCGGAATTCGCGAGGACTTTCTCAAAATTAGGGACCTCCTTCAATCTGATCGGATTGCCTTAATCTCCAATGCGTGGCCCTAATTTCGGGATTTTCCGGCAAATGCAACATGGTAGGAAGCAGAGCACTCCGGTGCACAGGCTCGCTCTCTTGGCGCCTCCCCGATCCCCCTTTTGCCAAGTTCATCCTCCAGTCCATTTTTTTCGTCCCGCTTAAGTAGATAGAATATGGGGTATGTGGGGATCTTACTCTTATATACCCAAGGCCATATTCTATCTACTTAAGGGGGACTAGCCCGAAGCCCTACAGACTTAGAAGTACGGGAGTTGCTCGCAGTAGGTTCCCCACGTGATGCCTCTGTATTGCCTCTACATCCCTGGGGTGCCCTAGGAGCACTACTTCTTGGGAGTTGCAGAGTGGTAGTCTCCCAAAATAAGGGGACCCCAATATAGACCCCAATATACTACAGTCCTTGTTATTGGGACCCCCAAAAGGGTACCCTAATTTTGGGAAACCCCTCTTTTGAGCACACCTTCATATTTGATTGTCGCACCCCCTGTCATCTTCGAAGTTGACCAGGATTTCCCGCAACCCCCCCCAACAGCCTTTGTAAGCTCACCACCTCCCCCATCCCCTAAACCCTAAACACGAATGGTTATGAACCCAACAATGCCCTAAAGGACCCTCCCCCACCCTAACCGTCCTAGCCTGCAGGCCCCAAACCTAAAGCTGTAATCTCAGGGTGTAGATTTGTTTCCAAAAACAAAGGATCCCACCAGCATAGATCCTAACCCGATGCGGTGAGAGCTTGAGCTCAGAGTGCCGCAAAGAAGCCTGAGCCTTACTGGTACTCAAGGGCGAGTGGGGGAGAGGATATTAGGGTTACATTGGGGTTGTAGGAGAGTTATATCTGGGTTCTAATGGGGTTATATTAGGGTTATATTAAGGTCATATAAAGGTTCTATTAGGGTTATATGGGCGAGTGTGGAAGGGGATCCCTATCACCATCCCTCCTAGAGCCCCTACTTGAGCTAGAGTCTAAACTCCTTAAAAAGGGGTTCTATAGGAGATTATAGAGGGAAGTATTACAGGGGATTATTACGAGAGATACTACAAGGTTAGACCATGGCTCATGTGTACCCTAGCATCGTATCTACATCTAGCACCACTAAAGAAGTGCTTGTATTCCCTTCTCCACACTAAACCCTAAACCCTAAATGAAATTATGGAAGTTTCCACTCCCCCACTTCTTCCTTACTCCACCAGTAAGAAGAAGCCTGATCCTGGCGGGGCTGGCGTGCTGAAATCGGCCCAGACCCCCCGTTGGAAGCTTAGCGCGCGCGGTTAAGGGTTTAGGTTTTAGGCTTGGCACCCCTACTGAAAGAGCCAAAATGATTGCCACTGTCAAGGTCCTAGACTCTAGACCCCATAGTAGTTTCCGTGTTATTTTCCATCATCCCTATGTAACCCCAATAGAACCCCCCTATAATCCATCATAATCCTAACACCCTGGCATGGTTATACTATAGGGTACCTCAAGTAGACTTCTAAGATGACTAAGTTGCGGTGAGTTCAGGGTGAAGATTCGAGGCTGCTTTGGTGGTTGACTGGAGAAATCGGAAGCTATGATATACAATGGGTTCAGGGATCAGGTCTCAGGGTCAAGGATCTAAACCCCAAACCCTAAACCCTAAGCCCTAAAACCCTTAACCCCAAACCCTAAACCCGAAACGATAAAACCCTTAACCCTCTCACGGTTAAGGCTGCAGATAGTAGCGGCTTCGGGCTCAGGGCGGGCGACCCATGTAGCAGAATGCAGTCGTTCAGCGGTCCAGCTATGCGCAGGTGGTAGTTCTTGCCCTCCTCTTTGGATATCAATGGCGCGCTTTCTTAGTGCATTTGGCTCAGTGTCACCAGCGCCATCTTGTCAGATTTTTTAGAGCTTTCGATCGACGTGTACCACTGCTAGCTCTACTTTCCTGAGCTTCCAGGTTAGCGCCGGAGTGGCTTCGTCCGAAAAGGCCTTGCCCTATTCCGGCTGACCCATCCTTTCGACACGTATGCATCGTGCGGTGTGGCAAAGACTGCCCAGTGTTTTTCAGAGAAGAAGGGAATTGACCCCCTAAAGCCTACAGAATTTAGGAACTACTTCAAGCTGGGGTTATAGCATGTTATGGCCCTAGTAAGTATAGTTCGCTGGCGTAGGCTAGGCCGCTTAGGGGGACCATCTGTAGGGCCATAAAGCCATTTACAAGTATGGTCCCCCTTAAGTAGATAGAATATGGCTTCGGGTATAATAAAATCAGATCCCCATAATTATATCCCATATTCTATCTATTTAAATGGGACTAATAACCCCTAAACCCTAAAAAGTTGCTTCCATTTGCTTTTCCATTATCCCAATATAACCCCATATTCTATCTAAGTAGTGGGGACTATAGGTACCAAGTGCCGTGAAAACCGACTCTTCATCTCCGAGCCTCAGCTACGGTTAAGGTTTCGGGTTTAGGGCCCAGGGTTAATGGAAAAGAAGATGGAAACTCATGTAATATATTGGAATTATCCAGGGAATATGGAAAAGAAGCTGGAAACTAGGGTTTAGGGTTTTGGGCTTAAGGTTTAGGGCTTAATTAGGGCTTAGGGTTGAAAAGGGTTTTTCTACCTTGCTGAACCCCATAAAGCATGGCAATGCAGCTTAACCTGCCGCATTGCTTCCATAGAAGGGTTTGAGCAGAGACCTTGACGACGAGGGCAGGGGCATTAAAAGCCTTAGGGTTCAGGCTGTGAGTTTTCAAGTTTAGGGTAAAGTACAGTAGGATGCAAACAAGCATACATGCCGTCTACGGAGAATGTACTCGGAGCATCCTATGCCTCAAAACCTAGGGCTTAGGGTTTAGTGTTTAGGGTATATGTTCAGTACTGCCTCCCCTCAGTAACAGTTGAATAATACTTATAACATGGTTATATATAGCCCTTAGTAGGACCCTTAGTATAGACTGTTACTCGGGGGGGGCAATACCCAAGGTATATGCTGAATCTTCAGGATCCTCTGTAAGCGCAATTGCCTTGGTTAAGACAGCTTGGAAGCTACCTTGACTTACTTAGCAATGGAGACCCATGATTTGTAAGCCCCTTCCTTGTAAGGGCCTTAATACTAGGATCCTCATTATAATTCCTATCAATGGGAGGGGGTTATTCATCAGGGGTCTACATTCCCCTAACATATATCATAATATACAATAAGATATCATAATATATTATCATATTTCATACTATACTATAATAGACTTTAATCTACTATAATATTATTAATCACAGGTCTGGGTTAGTAGGGATTGTGGGATTGATGATAGAGGACATGGCAACCTTGAAGCCTTAGTCCTAAATAGTAGTTTCCGTTTTCTTTTCCATTATCCCTCTATATATATAACACCAATATATTATAGTAATTTTCATGTTATTTTCCGTTATCCTGGGTAACTCCAATATGTTATAGCAGTTTCCATTTTTCTTTTCCATTACCCTTAAACCCTAAACCTGAACTGGTTTACCACGTCGAAAGAGCCTCCGAGCATGCCCTACGAGTAGTTTTCCTGATTATGGCCTCTTGCGTTTTGGTGTCTTGATGTCTGCAAATTAGGGTACGCTTACAGGGATTATGGGGGGGCTATATAGAGGTTATACATGGGTATATAGGGTTAAGGGTTTTCCAAAATTAGGGGTTGCATTTTGGGGGTCGCTAATATAAGGACTCGTATTTTTGGTGTTCTATATTGTGTCCCCTTCTTTAGGGAAACTACCGAACGGGCTGCCAATTCTGGGCTGCAAGGAAGCGCAAATCACCAACAGCTATTTTTCAGAACCAGTGGCCCGAAATCCTTCTCAGAGGTTTGTAGGATTATGTGGCTGCTTATAGATGGAATTGCAATCCTACGACGCAAGTTGGGAACCTGTCTGAGGACAGCTGGACAGGATTGTAAGTTGGTTTTTTAGCCTTCTACCGTCCCAAACCCAAAATACTAACCCCTAAGTCCCATGAACCTTCAGTAACTAAAGCTTTACTTCTCAAGAAGGCTGGGTTCCATGTATATTACCCCATGTCTGATGGAGTGACATGTGTTGGGGGTGGTCTGAATATGAGTTTCTCTCAGATGCCCTGAGGAATTCCCCAGCCTCAACCCAAAGGAAAGGTGAGAATGAGCAGCGCGAGCTGGTTGCTATTGGCCGGGAGCTCGTGGTGACATGGAACTGGGGGTTAAAAGGGATGTCCAGGGTGTATGATGGTTAGGGCTCATATGGCTTAGGTCTTAGTTGAGTGCTCATAGGGTTTAGGGACACAAGGTCTCGGGCTGGGATTTAAGGGCTCGGGGTTGGAGATTACTGATCACGGATCTTTTTGAAGAGATCCCAATATAGACGAGAACACGGGTTGGGTTATTCAGACAAAAGGTGAAGAGAAAATGAGAGTCGACCAGTAGCACGTCATTTTTATTGTAAATGAAACAGATGCTGGTGCTTCTGTTGGTGTTTTGCCGGTGGCGGCAGAAATAGGTTTGGTTGTAGTGGTTGTGGCGGTAGCATGTGGTAGTAAGTGAAAGAAGAAGAATCATGGCGCTCATCATGGCCAGTCTCATGGACATGTGATACAGGCTGACCCTAAATAGTAGTTTCCATTTTATTTTCCATTATCTTAATATAACCCCAATATATACCCCTAATATGACTGCAATGGGTACCCTCAGTGTGTATGGCAGGGGGCAGGTGCCATACCCCTTCTGGGTATCCAAACCGGGGGAAGCCTAGATACATCTAAACCCTAAACCCTAAACCCTGAGAAGTCAGCTCTACACCCCAACATGCACCTGTTGGCTCAAGCCTTTAGTTTATTGTGCTGGCCTTCGCTGAACCGGCGCGCCCAGCCATGGAAAAGTGTTAAGAGGTGGGCACGGTCTGGAGGTCTAATTAGGGCTTGGGGTCAAAGGTTTAGAGGTTAGGGGCTTGGAGCCAAGGGCTTGGAGTCAAGGGTTAAGT